CTTGTTATTTATTCTGTGTCAGTGTCATTTACAAATGCTATGCTGTATCTTTATTCGGATATCACACGGCATCTGATCCTAGGCCCAACTACAAAAAGCTACAATTATTTGAAGCAGAGCTAACATTTACCAGAATAAGATTGATATTAAAAAAATTAAATCTATTACTATCTAAAATTTTCATGGGCAATTTGTTAATCATGATTTTTGTCAAAATAGGATGGTTAATTTCAAAAGAAATTCCAGCTATTGCAAGGGTATGGTTAACCCTATTCTTACTGATCACTGAGTAGTACATAACATTTTAATTTTGAAGCCTGGTATCAAAGAAAAGACTATCACAAAGGCAAGATACAGAAGGAACACTTGCCTTATGCAAACTTTACAGAATATCATTATTATGGGTTTCTTCTCTGCAAGACCACAGTGACAAAGAAGGGCAACAGTGAAATTTTAAAAGGTTTAAATACTGGAATAATCATCTTTGCCAATACACTTCTACAGGTGCAGACAGAAGTGTATTGATTGTTTGGACCCTGAGAGAAGTGCAGTATATTGTAGTGCCGGGACAGAATTTGATTATGTGCTCCTTGATCTCTGTGGTGAGCACTTACGCACGGGAGCACTTCAAAGGGCTATGCTGGAGAGAAAACCCTCCCCACCAGGAGGAAGGTTGGAGCAGACGCTGGAGCTCACCTGAGCACAAGACTGACAATCCCAGGGCACTTGGGTAGGAAAGACCGCCAGGGTGAGGAGGAGGGACTAGGGACGTACTACATGAGGACTGTAGGGGCTGTGATGAGGATGGAGCAGGGGGTTAGGGTGGAGAGGAGGAATGGGTTTGAGTAGATGGAAGGAGATCACTAATGACCTCAGAGGTATGTGTGTAGTACTGGAAGGGGTAAGCAGAGATTTCAGCTTCTTTGAGAAAGAGAATGACAGTAAGTAAGGGTCAATGAAGTTTGAAGAGCTCTGAGTGTATGAAGGCAAGTTATAACAGAGCTGTGGAAGCCTGGCAGGGCAGGCAGATCTCAGTCCCACTTTTTTCTCCCCTTCTCACCCATGTATTCCTCCTTTCTTGGGATCCCTGTCTGCTTTCCCTCTTCCCTAGACTTAGAAGCCATACTCCTTACTCACACCCATCCCAGCACCTGGCCTCAGGCAGCTACCCTTCACTCCTGCAAGACGCAAAGGTCCCACTGCTTCCCTCTATCTGGGCCCTCCTTGATCTGCTGTACCTTCTGGTCTGGAGGGAAGGGATGGAGCAGGGCTGGTCTGCTGGATGGAGACTAGAGAGTGAGTCTTTCTGCTGCTGTCATTCTCAAAGACAAAGCTGTAGCAGTGACACCTACTTCTGCTGGGAAGAGCTAGTCTTAGTGCAGTTGCTGCTGCCTCAGCCTTTGGCCTCTGCTTTAGCAGCAACATCCAGAGAACACAAGATTTTAACAAGCAGGAGGTGGGGATTGGCACAGGCAAAGTTCAGTCTGTTGGCCACCGAATCTAGCCATTAACCATTAATGATCCATTCCAACAGAAATCAGTGATCATTGCAGTTACTCTAAACGTGGGGTAAGCGTAAGAATGGCAATGCAAAAACCTGCCAGTCTTAAATTATTTTTCTCTGTATGATGCATGTGCTTAATTGGTTGAATATAATTAACAGTGCTTGGGTATTTCTACAATTTTATTTTCTGTGTGGGAATGCCCAACCCAAAGAGTCTTTCTGATGTTACTAAACTCCACTTTTCTGCTTCATGCTAAAACCTCTCTGCTGAAGCAAGGTCATTTCTGGCTGTGGAAAAGCTTCACACCAGCATGGTTCAAAGAACTCATTGTGGCCCAGATTAGAAAGGCATTCAGATGCTTACAGATGGAAACTGGCACATAAGACATCAAAGACCCTAACTCCCACTGATTCACTGATACATTTTTAAATACCTTCTGATCAAAAAGGCTAAATCCACCAAGGAACCTAGATCCTACTTGCAAATTAAGATGTGTACTTTCAAAATTAAATTGCTATTAGAAATTTCAGAAATTCTGAGTAACTGCTTCCTTATTCCCAAGATGCTTAAATTCTGCTGATTTGCATCCATAACAGCCCCTCCATGCCTCTTGCTGTCTGGCATTCACAAAACTCCGGGTATGCCAAGGAGATCCATATGTACTCACAAAATAAATACCCCAAAAATCTCTTAGACTAGTCATTCTCAGACAGCACATTACTCAGGCAAAAGAGAAGGGGATGTGCACCTTCCACAACAGCACACCTCTGAGATGACCTAGTCTCCTTGGCACATAAGACCTTCCCCTGCAGAACTGGAACAGATGGTGCAGCTGCATTCCTCTTCACTCAAGTGAATACACAAACAATATGTTCCAGTCTGTGGTGCTCTGGGGCTCCATGGTGGTGCTAGCAAATCGACTGTCCCTCACTGCAATTTCTTTCTGATTTTTGGTTGACTTGGGGCCTCCTAGGATTTTCTTCCAGGTGCACAGTGTGATTCCTACAGGTCACTGCACTGTTTAAAGGTTAGGCTTTGTTGTGCATATAACAGAATTTTCCAAATTCTCTCCAGGCATTTTCCCAAATGGCCAGCTTTAGCACTTTGGTTGCCTTAACTCCCAACTGACTTCTTCCAAGTCCACTAAACCTGTGTGTGCCTGGCCCTCTTCTGATTACCAGGGTTATCTGACTGTGCTGACACAGTGACACTGGAAGTCACTCACTTCCTTCGCCTGACCCTTTCCATGCAGTATGGGAAACAGTGCTTTGCAGCAACCCTCAGCTCCTGTGTGTGGGGGATTTGGGGCTTTCTCCTCAGTACCTGTGGGATTTGTCTATGACACGTGGGAACTGATAAACATTTTAACCATTGCAGCTATGTCCAGCGGGGATGATAATTCATGGAGTTCTGCTCCCTATGCTCATAGCCAAGCTGGTCAATAATGTGAGCTGAAATCAATCTGTCAGGTCATGAACAGTGCACATAACATGCCAGCCATTCAATTGTCTCCACTGTAGGAGCAATAATCTCTGGTAGAGAGAAAGGATGGGCAGCTGGGGATGATAACCTTCCAAACTGCACTAACATACATTTGGAAAGCCTATAAATTTGAATCCCTGAACACAGATTCTCTGCCATGAAGAGTAACTGCAAGTGCATAACAGAGGGTTTTTTTCTGAGTTGCAGACTGCCAAAGGCAGAAGAGGGACAATCAAGCCTTTTGACCTGCAGCTCAATGCTGTATGCTTGAAAAGAAACTGGCAGTGGTCACTGTTAGGACTGCTGAATGTGATAACAATTTAGGGATCATAATACTCTCCACAGGCAGCCATTCAGTGTCATGTACCATGGGCCAATAGACACTTATTTCCTTCAAGTCAACCAACTCACAGCTGTCCTTTCTCTCATCTTTGCTTTTTTGGGTAAGAACTCTGGCTGAGTAGTCAGGTGAATGGCTTTTTGTTGTCTGGCCAAGACAGAGGCCTGATTTCTGTTTAGGTGGGGAATTCTGCTGTGGAAATGTTTTCAAAACATACATTAATTGAGGGGTGGAGCAATCTAACTGCATTTTGAGCTCACAAAATCTGAATTTTCGTATCAATTAGAAATTTTTTGTTCTCTGCATGTGATGCATATAAGATGCACCTATATTTATAAAAATGCATTGTGATGCCCTGACCTTACATCCCTTGAAGCAGTTTAACATCTCTTACTCAGATGTAGCAGTGTTCTGAAAGCAGTGATCAGTGACACTTTAGGTTGTGGTCCCTACTGTTCTAGCCCTGCAATAAAAGGATTAACATTGTGCAGAATCTCCAAGAATTTTAATTTCATTTGGGATAAGGCCCAAAGAAACTGTTCTTTAATGGGCTCCACACAATCCCCTACAATATCAAGATTTTTACTTTAAGGCCAGTTCAATAAATCAGAAATATCAATGTTTCAAAGTCTGCTTCATAGCTAGAAAATGTTAAAAAAAGTGTGGATTTGAATAATGAGTTGATAAATCACACTTCTTTATAAAGAATAATAGAGTAAAGGTATTATTCAAGCAACAGGTCTATTACTTTCCAGCTCCTTGACACTTTTCATATCCAAGCGCCCATAGAATAAACACACATTATTATTTTATATTTAACAAACTCTTTCAGTTGTATGTTTAGGAAATTTCGGTTCATTTATGTTGTTTTAATTTCATTTTATTTATGATTAATTCTATTGTCAGACAAACATCACTCTTGATTTCCCTTGACATTACTTTTTTCTTTTGGAGTTTTATCACAACTTTGTACAATCCTGTTTTTGAAAGGCCCCGCTTTTTCCTGACTTGTCTTTCCTGCTACATAAAGCATTTTTGCGATGAAAGACCTGATAAATGGATTGTATGACAAAGTTAAACCAGTGGGAGTCCACCCTGAATATAGACTACTAGGGAGGCAATTACAATGTTACTCTTAACAGTTATAGATCATTTGATTTTGGTTTCTCTTGTACAAAAATCAACTAAGCTATTTTCATGCTTCTGAGAGTAATTTTGATTACTCAGACTCATTCTTGTCAGACACCATGAAGTACAATAAACTCTTCTGATATGTTGCCCAGTCTGGGGGAATTGTTTCTGTCTCCATTTTTATAGATGTTGATCATTTCCATATAACAAAGAGGTATAAAGTACAGCCAAATAACCCTGTTTACGAAAGGGATAAAAATGGCCTTGTTGAGTGCATAAGGGCAAGCCTAACCTCCAATAAATGTAATGTTTCCCAAGGCCTGGAAGGACAAGCACAAATAGGAAAGTAAAAGATCGTATTCCACACATCTTACTGCTGGTAGCTACAAGAATGAGTCTGAGCCTATTTCAAATGTCCATGTTCACAGACATTTTTTGAGGAGGGATGAGATGTCTGGGGTAAGCCCGTTACTGTAAATAAAGAGGAACTCTGCTACCAGCATTTTTCTCAGTATATGTCTCATTTAGTAGCCATCATTGTTGCTGAAACAAACTACAGTTACTACTGTCTTCAAAGGGAAACACTGCAACTGGAAGGATGACCCATTTGGGAAGGGTTGTAGGACAGAGGGTAAGGTGTTATCTCTAAGGTGTGCCTTACAAGTGCTCAGCATCCAAGAATAAAGTAGACTTCACCTCCACTGATAACCTGAGGGGCAGTCAGGAGTCCTTCTTCAAAAGAGGACTAGTGTACTGCATGGCAGTCTGTAGAACATTTATTCACAGCTGAAGGCATCCTGAAGGAAGAATCTGGCAATAGCCCAACTGGATGGTTAATGCTTCTCAAACTGCAGACAGGAGAACTCCTGCCCAGAAGCAGCTGAGTGTAGCAGCAGTTGATTGGCAGTTTTCCTGGTGTATTGGAGAGGGGCCATTCCATGCTTATTTTTGCAAGGTAAACAACTTCTTTTGGAGTTTTGTTCAGGTTGTAAAACATGGAAGGGTCTTGAATCAGGACAGTACCTGAATATAAAAGATTAAAGTAATTCTTAGTCAGGACAGTGCTTTCCTATGTTCTGAGTAGTACACCTAACAGGTCTATTATCCTTAACTGGATTAAGGCTATGATGCACAGTATTGCCAACCCCATCTTCAAAATTCATGTAATTGGAAAAACATCAGAGTTGTTTAAAAGTCACAAGATTGTAAATCTTTCATTTTTTATTTACTTGCTATTTTATTCTTTAGGCTACATTTCTGAAGCAGCTTCAAACCTTTCCATGAGATCAGAAGGGCTCAAAATGTACTCAGAAATGAAGATTCCTTTGCAGTTTCTTGCTGCTAGCATTTGAGACTTCAAGAGAAAGCATTAACAGTTGTGATACTTGCAATAACTTTACAAGAATTGGCAAAGCTGCCTCTGCCTCTGTCTAAATTTCAACTTCCATGTTTCAAAATTTTCAGCCTAAAAGCAAAAATAACTAGAAAAAAAGGACACAACCATTTCACATATGTGGGTGTTTGAAACCTATGTCATAGGGTTTTCTTCTGAACAATTGCAGCAACCACAGCTGGCTTGGCTAATGATTCTTTTTTAACAGAACTATTTATTCCCCTCCCCCTATCTGCGAAAGCAATTTCAGATGTATCTTTTCTTTCTTTTTCCAAGATAGATAGAGTATCTCACCCTATGAGAGAAGTAGATCAGCTGAAAAGAGGCAAAACATGTTAAATCTCATGTAAAAAAACTATGCTATTTGAAAAAGCCTGCATATTTCTTTGGTCATCTAAAATTAAAGCAAGACTGACAAAAGACAGTTGCCGTAGAGGAGAAGAAAAAAGAAATCAAGGGAGAGAACATGAGGTTGACTGTACAATGGATATATATTGACAGTGAGAAAATTTGTGCTCAGGACTCACACAGACAAAAAAGAAGGGAGGATCAAACTGATTGTAAGGATCATACAGTTTTACCAATCTTTCCTTAGGATTCAAGCTGGGATTGCTGCTCTGGACTGCATCAAGATTAGACAGGGAACAGAGAGATGTAAGAAACTCACTGATATCCTGTATGACTTACTGGGTCTATGAATAGGTGCATCCCAAGAGCCGGCCACCACTCTCGCACAGTGCATAGTACTGTCAAGGATTTAAAAGTATATGCTCTTGAAAGTTTCCTAAGGCACTCTGCCAGTACTGCTGGTGATATAAAAGCTGGAGAAAGCTCAGAAAGTATGTGAAGGGGAGATGTTCACCAATTAACTTCTGTAAGCTAACTCAGGTCTCTGCAGTGGTGGTTTCAGGGATGCAGCCGATGCTATGGATACTGTCAGTCACACCTGAGAATCTGAAGGTTAGTGAGCCTTCAAAGGCGATTCCAATACTGGATGCTATTTAATTTCCCCTAGGGGATACCAAAATGGGTATTTGTGAGTACTGGTCCCAAGGGGAGTTGTGAGCAAAGAACGTGACGGGTAAACATTTTGCCTTCTACAGCACTAGAGGTCCTGCTATTCTGCCTTTAGATTTGCTCCTGGACAGCTTAATTCTATTCTCTCTCATGTTTCACGGCAGTGCCATGACTTATTTGGAATGATGACAGAGGAAGATTTATGATTATATTTCCGGAACATCCAGTGCAGAAAAACCACTGAAAACAAATCGGAGGAGTTGAGCTGTGCATCTCAGCAGCCTTTAGTCAGTCCCTCTTGAAACTGCAAACAGACACAGAGAACAGCTGCATTTGCTTCAACTGAATTCACTGTGAGACGCAGGGAGTGCTGTGGGAGGGGAGCGAGGTGTTTACACTGGTTTTAGAGAATACTGGCTTTCAAATTTTGATTCCTTATTTCATGCTGGGCAGTGATCCCTCTGTGCCAGCAGTGGGAAATGTCAAGCAACTGAGATCAATCAGGCATAATCAGCATTATGATTTGATTTTCTAGGGACAATGTCAGCAATGTGTTAGAGGAACTCATCAAACAAGAAAATAAAAAAAGTTTATGCCTTGAGGGACGGTTCCTCAACAATCTCCAGCTCATCTGATCTCAGATTTCAACACTAACACATTCTAATATACCCTCTAGACACCCACTAAATTTCACAGTGTTTGAAATAAGCAGTGGATTTTTGAGCACATTTAAACAAATTCCCATCCTTAATTACAGCAAAGTTTTTGGTTTTTTCCTCCTGTTTGTGGTTACAATAGATCAAGTTAAGGTTGATGCAACAGAAAATTAAACTTAAGAGCAGTAAGATAATAACTTATTTTGGTTCTTACTATTGCTGTTATATGTAGAGACATACAGAATCTAAATTATATGCAGAACAAATTGTCATCCATTAACTCAAATGCCAGATAAATAGACTGAGATTTCACCCCCCCCCCCCCCGATTACTTGCTCTTCTATTCTCCAGGGGAAAAAAAAAATTAAAAAATAGCCCCCTGATTTCAACCTTTTACTCAAATATAGTACATTTCTAGGAGATGTGATTTGTCCTTCTTCTCTCAGCATTATGACACAGCAAATGGGTATCAAAACTGCAACTGATAATTATCTCAAGAGGTTGTGATACCTGATGAAAATAAGTAAGTGGTAATAAGCATGCCTTGGAACAGTTAACAATATATAAAAGAAATATCGTTTCAGTATTTTCTGCAACACAAAATCACCCTCTGGTGAAAGGGGGTGGAGAGCTCTTCCACATTTTCAGCCTTTTCTCTGAGCTGCTAGAAGGAATGACAAGAAATTTGGAGCAGTGAAGAACTCTGCTTCTGTGGGATATTTGGAACATGGTGGACAAGGAAAGACAAAAAAGCGCAGCAGAAAATGTTGAGTAAGGAGAAGGTAGAGTGTTCTATACTTACAGAATCTTAAAAGTGAGAGGGAATCTCTGCCAAAAGGGACTATTTGGCAGAGGGGATTATACAGTGTCCAGGACTTTTGATCCTTTAATTATTTAGGGCCAGTTTAATACCTTTATTTGAGTAACTCTTCATTCCTGAGAAAAAGTACTTCCTTGCCATGCAAAGTACAAGAGTCACATCTTCAGGAAATCTGGTAACAATATTCAGCTGTGTAATCCCCACTCTGATCCAGAAATTTTAATGACTGTAGCAGAACAAAGCCCTAAAAATATGTTCATTAAAAATAATTCTTTTTGTGACTGCCTAATGCATTCTCTTCAATCAACATACTTCTTATTTGACTGAATTTAAATAATTTTTGAGTTCTATAGATTTATACAAAAGATCCATAGCTATTTAACACTGTTCACTTTCTTTCATTTTTGCAAAACCCCGTGTTTTCCCTAACTCTATTGAAAAAACTGACATGGTCAAAACTACAAAAAAATCCCTGCCATTGATAATTGTTCTTCTAGCTGACAAATTCTGCACCATTGACTGCCTACTGAGATGCAATAAGAATTAAATGGGTGGAAATAACTCTGAAGTGGCAGCTTTAAGCTCTAGCAAAGGAGCACACAGCCCTATTTTCATGACAACATAGAAAATTGCCTTCTGGGTCAAACTAATAATCCATTTCACCTCCAGCAGCAGCAATAGGAAATGTTGTCCGGGGACAAGTCATGATCCTGCCTCTCTGCAGTTCATTCACTTATATTCCTCCACTACCCACCACTATACCAAGGATGCCAGCGTGTTCCTACCTCTTCATTTTAGTGTCTCTTTATGCATCTGCTGCTGTGGAATTTTTCTGCTTTCTCCTTTTTTTAACTTGCTGGTACTGTGGTCCTCCACAGCTTCCTGTGACAGCTGATTTCAGAAGGTAGAGCAGGTAGCGGTATTTAAAAAAGGACTTTCTTTTGCAGGTTTTAAACTGTTCTCCAGCACTTTCAGTGAGTGCCCATAGGACACCACAGGACTTGGGAAAGAATAGTTCTGTATTTGCTTTATACACTGCTTCCATGATTTTATAAACCTTAGCCATATCCCACTCAGCCTGGGAGAGGAATAAGATAATAAAAAGTCCAGCCTTCTCTGATTCCCTGTAAAGGCAGCTACTCCATCCTTTAATCATCTTAGTTGCTTTTCTCTTCATTATCTCTAATTTCCCTATGTCATTCTTAAAACATGTAAATCAGATTGTACACAGTGTTCAAGATGTGGGTGCACCAAGGTTTTATATTTTCTGGTTTGATCTTACTATCCTTTCTGAGAACACTCAAAAATTTTTTGGCATTTTTAGCTGCTGTTGCATGTCAAGCAGATGAGTTCAGACACCTGCAGGTCTCTTTCCTGAGCTTCAGCTGCCAGTTTTCAGTTCAACACTGTGTAAACACGGCTTAGATTATTTTCCCTAGATGCACCATCTACATAAGAACTCATCCACTACTTTTTACTGCACTCACTCAGGGGTGTATCATGTCTCCAGAGCTCATTACTATGTATATGTCATTTGACTCCCTGCAGGAGTTCAGTATCATCTGTGAATTGAGACATACACCCGTATCCCTTCCTTCTGCAGGTTATTGATGAAGATCTTAAATAAAACTAATTCCCTACAATATGGTACCGCTTCCTCTTCTTTATCCTGAAAAGTGACAAAGAATTCCTTTGCTCCCTACGCAGCAGCTTTCAAATCATATCAGTCCCATGGCAACTTCATTTCTTTAGTAGCTTTCTGCTAGGCATCTTATCATGGGTTTGTTGAAAATCCAAACAAAATATATCTTTGACATATAGATAACTTGTAGAACTTCAGAAAATTAGTGAAGCAGGATTTCCCCTTGCAGGAGTTTACAGGATTTACATAGTGCAGTGAAGGCCACCACTTGTATACCGAAATGGTATTAAATCCTGCACTAATCCAAGTGTTGGCTGCCAGAAGCTGTTTCTGAGCACTGAAAAGATGAGAGGGATGGCTTTTTTCTATATTGAATTGATCCTTTGAAGATCTACCTAGGGTGGAAAAGCTTAGACCAAAAGAGCCCGAGGGAAGAGATGCTACAAAATTTGCAATAAACCAAAACATATCTGTTTTGGATAGACCAAAATGAAATCCAGTGCCTGCAGAAGCCTTCTCAGAGTGGAAACTTCCTGCCCTACAGGCTCCAGGCTAGCTAGCTAGCTAGTAAGGAGCTCCAATGTTAAACAACAGCAACAAGATCAATGTCAGGGTTTCCAAAACAGCAGGTAAATTTGGAGTGTCCTCTGTCCTCTGACCCTAAAAATTTGAAAAGCAGAAGACGTAAAGGCTTTCCCTGCAGAGCTTCTGGGCTGGCCCTTCTGGAGCTATTTCTGCAATCCCAGATCCTCATATGTTTAGTTTCACTGGTTTCTTTTTGACTGGTTTTCCAGAGAAGAAGAGGCCATTTATGAAAAGCAGACAGCAAGGTAGATGCAGGCTGTCATCAGCCACAAAGGGGAGTCTGGATCTTGACACTTTTCCCCCAGACTGAGTACCCATTTTAAGCTGTGGGCCTTGCAGTGAAGCACTGCTTAACACCAAAGACCTTAAAACAAAGGTGGGTAGCAGAATCAAAGCCCTGATTTTAAATTGGCCTTTCTTACATCACCATCCCAATACTTTCTGAACTATAACACATGTATATGGTATAAACTTTTGGGTAAAAAGTATGGATTAGATCTGGAATCAATTAATAGTTCACCAACGTAGCACTGGCAGACTCATTTGTACAGAATCAGAAGTTTGTGGATTAAGCTCCCCTAGTATTAATAAAATAGTAATAACCTAAAGTCTGCTATATATTCACAAGCCTAATTTTTAAGTTTGAAATTATTTTTCTCCCCTTCATTTAGCTTGGTATTATTTATTAATTTATGATATATTAAAGTTTTACTAACATGAACCTTATTCAGTATAAATAGATATCTTCCAAAGAAAGGCAGATTATTGTTCTATTTATATCTATAAATTAACAATTACATTTGACATAGGAATTATTTTAAAATAATGTTTCATATTATAGTTCACTTTATATTTGCAATCATATTTATAAATGTGTGATGTAGCATTACTGTACTGTTCTACTGACCTTATCAGAAAAAAGAGAACTGTCATCTATATTATTTTTCTTAATTGGGAATGTTTTTTCTATTATGCTGTGTAAAAGTTCACAAAGAAGCATAACCAAAAAGGGAATATTTCTCACTCGCAACTATCAGTAGTTTATTACAATATTGCAATAGTAAAACTATTGTAGATTTCTGTAAGTATCAAACTAAATTGTACACCTCCAAATAAACATGGTAGTGGAGGTGCATGTGCCTACTGCATTTGGTAACAAGGTGAGAGGTGATGGCTTGTGGATTCTGTGAGCCACTGCTGCAGCAGGAGGTTAAAACCTTAACTTACTTTGCCTAAAGAGAAGTTTGAGTGTGGTGAAGTCCTTCTGTGTTCAAGCTCACGAATTTACTGTCTTGTCCTGCAAAGTATCTCTGTGAAAGAGTATTTGATACTCAAGTTTCTTTACCAAAATAACACGTTTTCACTGCAATAAAAGTAAAAAGGAGATATATAAGGGTATGTTTAAGCTCGGCAATTTCAAGGTTCCTACAAGTAACAGATTCCAGGTTGGTAGATCCTGAAGGCAGCCTAGACCAGCTGCCTTCATTAGCTAGAAGTCCTGTTCTGCTCTGTTCAAACCTGGAATCAATTTTACCTCTGATTTCAGTGGGAACAGAGTAAAACGTTTCACTCACGTGTTCTTCTAAGGAGCTGAGGTTTGCTTAGCAGCCTTTGAGATTTCAAGGATTGAACTGTAGGCCTTATGCCTCCTGGCAGAAGGTACTCATATGACTCCAAAAGAGCAAATAAATGGTTTGCAAGGGAGACTCAAGTTGTTTTACACCAATAATTTTTATATCATTTTAGAGTATACGACGTCAGGCTGGCCTGAAAATATGGCACAGAAGTTCCCAACAGCAGCTCCCACTTATTCTTGGACTTTTGCGGAGTTAAGGCAGATTCATGCTTATTTTTAACCTAGAAATATCTTTTTAGGGGGCTATGTTCTGCCTACTTCATAGTTTGAATTGTATTTGTAAGATCTGAGGGAATGAGATGAGCTGTTGAAGTAAATCTGTTCTGGGGAAAAACATACAGAACATACAGAACTGACTGGGGGTTTTTTTGACACAGGGATGTCTGTTCTGTTCAGCTGAATGGTCAGAAATAATACTTACCTGAGAAACTATCAAGTGCAAACCTCTGCCAGAGTAAAAATAATTTAAAATGGTGACGTTAGGATTTTCAGTGGTGGCTGAGAAGACAGATATACAATTCCTGTTAGGTTTAAGGGAAAGGTTTCCAGAAACCCAAGGCGTAACACTCATGCTAATACTTGGATGCACAGTATAAGATAAAATGTTATGGACTGTTTGGAGAAAAAACTGTGTTATTTTGTTCAATGCTTCTGCCTTCTGTCTCTGACTAGGCAAATCAGTTAAACCACTGACCTTTTCTTAGGTATGATTTTTTAAAAAGTCATAATGTGGTAGAAAATCTAAAAAAAATTACACAAGAATTTATCAGTTTCTTTAATGATACTCACTGCTTTCCCACTATGTAGGCCAGATATATTTGCACTATAAAGAACAGAACTGTAACATTAAAAACATGCAAAACTACATGGCAATTAATCTTTGCTGAGGAGAGAAATGAGGTGGTAAAGAAGCAATATGCTAAATTTTGCTTTCAAATATGAGGCAAAAGTAAAGACTCAGATAAAGAAGATCTCTCTTCTTCCATACACAGACATTAACAGCATTTTCCTCTTTTTTGCTGGTGAACAAAATTTTCTATTAGAAGAGAGAAGAGTGCATCTGATATTCCCAGGAGGAGAGGTTAACAGCAGAAACAGGTATGTACAGAAGTTTGTTGGTGAGATAATATTGGGAGGAAGGTGATAGGGGTGAAAGAAGACAGGAATGGATGGCAGTGTCCTGTGTCCTGACTTGCAGGAATCAATGCTGGAAGAAAGCTAGAACCATGGGGAAGACTTCAGAATAAAGGGAGAGGGTGAAGTTGTGAAAGTCACAAACTAAATCTTTTCTACATAACAGAAAAGCCAGGGTAAGACAGGATGTGTGGAGATACACAGAACAGAGTGGTCTCTAGTTACTCTACAAAACTCTGCTGCAGAATCTATAGAGGAATCTGCTTTTTCTGAATCTCCTCACTGGAACCCGTTGATAGGAAGATGTGGTATTAATTTCATATAATGGCAGATCCATCTAAACCTGCCATCATCCACACCGTTAAGTAAACAATTAGGGCTCTGTGTGAATGTGTAAGATTGACAATATGACAAAAAATTTTATGGATATTAATATGTGTTTACAGATGAAAACCACCATTTTCCCCCCTCCGCCCCCATTTTTGGCAATTTTGGTCTTGCCATTTGATATTTTGGCCTGGGACACAGTAAACAATATCTGGAAGAAAGGGAGTCTATACCAGGAACTTCTCTGGGAGGTTCTGCATACACATCAGCTCCCCAAGTCTTTGTGAACAACAAGGAGAATATCACAGAGACATTTTGTAAGGAAAACTCGATACAATCTGTAAAGCATTAAGCACCCAACCCTGTATAAATTGTGTATCTGGAATCAATTGACACTAGGTGTTTAAATGTCACTGAGGGTCTGGGAAACAACTACTCATGCACTGGATTCCAGTCCAGATACTGATGGTGAGAAAATTTACTCACAGATCCTCAGGATACCATTAGTGACACATGGAATTACTTTCAGTCAAGTTTAGGTACCCGCAGCGTACAAAGAATGAGCTGCTGAGGTTCCCACTACTGTTTGAGAAGGTCTTGCAAACAGTTGATGGTGTTCAGGGTGCAATTCATCCAACCAAACATAACTATTTGTTTTAAGAGGGGACGAAGTAAGTTTTAAACCCCACTGCTTAGACTGAGTAACTCTCTCCTAGTAGGATAACTATCTCGGGAGCAAACACCTCCACCATAGACAGCCACACACAGCCTCTTGAGATGTTTTTACATTTCTGTGGGTGATCATATATCTCTTACCATTCCCCAGGACCCTGGGATGATCATTCTGCAGCTTGCGGGGCAGGGAGGTGACACTGAAGAGCAGATGAATCTTCCCAGCTCCAGCCTGTGAAAACAGCACTGCAGAAGGAGCTTCTTGCTGAAAGAAAGCTGTGGCAGTCAGATGTGCTGGGTGAAGGGAATAGATCTTCAGGGAATGGTTGCAAAATTTCACTGGAGCACGAAGGAGGCTTTCAGCTGATCTGGAAAAGTGGGAGCTGACACATTTCTCTGTGCCGAGCTGGCCGGTATGGATAAGCTGTGTGCACAGATGGTGCTCTGGCTGCTGGTCTCCTAGCTGTGTGCAATCACAGAACAGTTAGCCTTCCAAACATGCCAAACCCCTACCCACTTTTTCCCAAGCCTCTTCCCATTCCCTCTCCTCCATCCTAAAATACCCTCAGCAATTAAAATGCCATCACCCTCTGCAAAATGTGGGTGTGAATCACAGGCAATTAACAAAGGAAAACCAAGAGTGCATTTAGAAAACTGCCAGTTCAGTTCTGAGTAGGAGGCAGACTCTTTGCAATCAGAGCACTTTTCCAACATTGTAAAGCTAGGCTGACAAGCTTAACTTGTTCACAAATGGTGCCATCAGTCAAAAATGAGACACTGAAGTTTCACTATACTCATAGATGTGACACCTGTAATGGAAAGTATCCTGTTGGTGTATCAGCAAGGAAGAAGATGAAGCAGGTGAAACTCCTCAACATTTCTGTATACTAGTTTTGGTCATATGATTACAGTTTGAGAAGGGGGCCATACAGGTTTGCTTCACTTAGCCTAAAATTTAGTCCTTTGGTAGTTCTAAAACTGTGACAGAGTGCACAAATGAGACAGTAACTACTTCATTTTTTCAAATGAATGATAGCAGGTATGGAAAGTGCTCTTTTCCTGTTTCTTCAGCAATTGAAGTAATTTCTTAAGGACAAAAAAAATGCTTACAAAGGAAATCCATTAATTTAATGCCACGTATTATTACCAAATGACATTATTCCATAAAATACCACACAGAGGCACAGAATGACTCCGGATGAAGCCAGTGAGCATTTCAGCACAGCTTGCAAATGTGTAAATATGGAAAATGAACTGAAATAGTGTGCTGAAAACTTATTAGAATTAATTCACTTTTAGCAACACGAGGGAAAGATACTCACTTGGATCTTAGCAATTTTGTTGTTGACCTACAAACCGCAAGTGAAAAAACATTTCTTTATGTCGGATGACACAGTTTCATGAATCACTGGAAGCTATTTTTAACTGCATCTTATATTTATGCTCACAACAAAGATGTTATGTTTTACATGGCATTACATGTCAGACAGCATTATCAGTAGGCTGTCTTCATTCATGGATGCCATTATTCATCAAAATAATTAAATTTGTGATAGGTTACTCTATATTGATTCTCCCAAGCATTTCTTCAGGACCTAGATGCCAACCACATCAACAAACTTCTCCATCTTAATGCAGGCTGGCTGAGAAAAGGTCAAAAGATGCATACAGCAAGCAGATATAGTTGACTCACTTTTGGAAAGCATGTAGATATACTCTGCTTTCCCTGCTACTAGACACTGAGGACTGAAGTGTGTGCAATATTCAAGCTCTAAGCTATATGTAAGAATCTATTCGCTATGATGAATGCTCTAAAATAAACAGAGCTTGCCTCGAGAACATATAAAAACTCTTTAGAAATGGCAACAACTAATTGTATGCCGAACTTTGAATACTTTAATGAAGTGTTACTGTCCACATTACATTTTAGAGTTTACAGAAATCTCTGTACTTAAAAAGAAGTTGAATTAAGGGAAAATAGGATTTTATGAGTTTGAAGAAAAAACTGTCTAAACTGCAAGCAACAAAAAAATACAGTCAAACGGTTTACTGCTTGTATTTTTAAATCCAATTAAATGTTTGGTCAGCTTCTTTGAATTCAGATGACAAAAAATAGATCTTAATAAAGGTTAAGTATTTCTGGCTAAGGTCTAGCAGTGAAAAGTGCATAGACAAACCTGTGAAGAAACGACAATTCTTATATTCTCTGCAAAGGAAGGATAACATGTTGGTAAAGAGAAGGAATAAGATAGCAGAATACATACTGAGAATATAAAGAAATACATTCTTTATATATGTGCTCATTGCACAAGCATTGCCAAATTAGAACACTGAATGAACCCTGGAGAAAAATAATGTGTCCATTTACTTACAGGCTGTATCATAGGTATGTAAATACAAATAACTGTGTTGGTGTTAAATGGACAACTCTAAACCTGTCATTTCTTGGATGAACTACTTAAGTGTTAACTTTCTTTGAATGAAATTTGTATGCAATGCACTACATGCTTTGGGAAGACTTTGAAACACAGCATTCAGCTCTGAAGCCTTGCCTTGTGTGGAAACAGTGCCGAAATCAGTCACCACCTGAGAGCAAGCAGGCAATTGAACTAACCCCCTGGTGTAATAGTTTCTGAACTAGATGCACTAAACTGATTGTTTAACCAGCACTGGCTGTGAAGTGCTGCTGTTAGCAACTCAAAGTTAGTACTTATACACACCTACCAATTTATCTCATTCCCCACTGACCTGTATTTATACTCTTCATCATCTAAGGCAGATTGATTACACTTTTTTATGTATACTGTTTCTTATTACTGCATTTGAAAAAGAGAGATAAGTAGAATTGAACCTGTGAGGCTAAAACTAAACCAAAAGGGAACGAGAACAAACAACAGTTTATAAATGCATTCAAAAATGCATTTCTATAATTCACGTCTATATAAGTCGAAACTTCGGTCTTCAGCTACTTAAACGCATTTGTTCTGGCCTTTTAAGCAAGTCTTTGTCTTATATAATTTTACACCATATGATCTCTGTGTGGGTACTATTTAACAGATTCATGACACATACTCTTTCTGAAGGTCATGTTTTCAGTTATTATTCTTTTTCCTTTCCATTTTCTTTTTAAGAGATTGTCCATGCTATGAAGAAAACTTAATTACCTGAAATCCAACTCACTCCAGGAAAATCTGCATGATTAAGGACTGGCAGAGTTTGGGTCAAGTGAGTGGTATGAAGCACAGCACTGCTTTTAAAGGTCAGTGATCAAGGGGCAGTGGTTTCTTTTAAATTCAACTGTTACAGTAAAATGAAACAAGGAAATGTTGTCTGGGACAGGGGATGAGAGAACTGCTGCCTTTTCTGTCTTGCTGATATTCATCAAGCCTTATTTGCCCCTTCAGCAAACCTGATGTTGAACAATATAATGGACAAGGACTGGAAACCCTTTCTGAGTTCTACGACTGAAACAAAAGTCATTACTACTTCAAGTTGGGTACTACATGCAGACCTTTATTTTGCTCCTGAGAACTGGTAAACTTATAAGGAGTTGACAGAAATGCTTACTGTTCCCCCTGAAAAAACCCTCGATATTGAAAAGAATTTGACAAGAAAATTTTCTAACAGTAAAGAGTTGAACAGATACTGCTGCAGGCAAACTATGTATATCAAATATCTTACACCCTGTCATACATCCGTAAGTGTGACTTACACCAGAAACAAGATAAATCCAAAAGGCATTTTTTTTCAAGCTGTTAAAATAATCAGATTTCACCTTAGTACATATACATATTCACAGCAAAAACTCATTTATAGGCTTGCCTTAAATAGGAAGCCAAGTTTTAAAGTTCACGTATCTTATTTATTTAGTGCAAGTCAACTTAGACAGTCTAATTTGCAGTCTATATCAAGACACAGCAAGTGTGTAGCCAATAGGTTGAGAAATAACTATTCCTCTCTATTCATCAGTTGTGAGACCACATCTGTAGTCACAACTGGTTCAGTCTGGGACTCCCAGTGCTAAAAAGACTGAAGTAAGTCCAACAAAGGGCCATCAAAGTGATTGAGGCTGGGCCACATAACATTCAAAGCAGGGTTGAGAGAATTGAGCTTGTTCAGCCTTAAGGAAGCCAAGGCTAAAGAAAAAAATATATAAAATATATAACTACAGTTCACAACTACTGGAGCACAGGACTAGGCCAAGAGGCATTTGGTACAAGCTGGAACACAGGAAAGTCTGACTTGACACAAAAAAATTTGTCTTACTGTAAGAATTGTCAAATCTTGGGATGGCCTGCCCGGTAAGGGCAGTATCCCTCACTTTAGAGATACTCAGAACTCTCCTAGAGACATAGCCTGGGACAACCTGCTGCATCTAGATCTGCTTTGAGCATAAGACTGGACATGGAAGTTCCACCCTCCTCACATGGTTCTGTGATTCAATGACTCATGGCTTGTCATGGTTTATGCGATGGAAATTCAAGTGCGCACAAAGCAAAGTATCCACAGTTGCTTTGGAGCTGGTCACTCAGCAGCACATTTCACACTGAACAGCCCATTTGCTATTTGACTCTTTCTGCCCTTGGTGTTACTGTTTTCATGGGCTTTCGGTTCAAGGTGGTGTTCATGGAACCCACTCTGTTATGAGCAATAGAAACTGCTGTTGTTTATTAGCAATGCATTTTCATTAAGGATTTCAGTTGTGCCTGAACACAGAATTGCTTTGTAACTGGGCATAACACCTTCTTGCATGGGAAGCAAGCCCTCACTGGCTTAACAGCTTCTAGGAACCTGCACTTCCTGACTTCCTCCAGGAGTCTGGAAGTGTAAGTAAGGAACACTTAGGATCCCCTTAGTTATGGGATCCTGAGCTGGACAGATTGTAAAGCTTTGTAGCTCTTTTCACTGCACTTTCCAAGACATTAGGAGCAGCAAAAAATACATTAAGTTAGAAAGAGTGTGCAGAGTAGGGCACGATAGCAACACCCCTGAGATTAGTGGAACACCACTGCTGACTATTTGTAAGAGAAGGAAAGGGAAGAACTGCAGGTTGTTACAGCTATATATTATACAAGAGCTCTAATTACTAAAACTCATGGCATGCATTTATGTCTGTTGATAGATCAAAAAATAAATCCTACAAATAGATTGATATGGGAAATGAAATAAACAGGAGCAGGAGAATTGAAACTCCTGGCTCTTTATTTAGTCATCAAAGAAATCTATTTTGTAATAAGCTATGGGCATTCCATTAACTGTCTTAGAAGTGCTGAAGGACTAAGAGCAAGGCCCTTCCTGAAGAGATAGCCTGAATTAGTAAAGATCCAAGGGGGTTCTCAAGACATGTTTTGAATTTCAAAACCAACTCTAAATCACTGAAGTTACTCCTTGATGCTCCATTAATATTCTCTGCTGTTGATAAGGGCATAATATTGAGCTATAACAAAAGCAAGGAGCACTACTTTTGACAAAGGAAGAGCTTTTGTACAGAGTCTCCTTTGGAAGAAAAGGAGGACAGAAAAGGCAAGATTATGTTGCTGATCCTTGAAACTACCTTAAATATGACTGTAAATTTACCTAAGTGACAGGAAGTAAAGAAGCATTCCTATTCAGGAGAGCAGCTTCTGTAAGGTTTGGGAAGAGAATTGTTTAAGCATCAGTGCTATGCTAGCCACAGAGAAAGGTCTCCCAGCTCCTATTCTTAGAAGCTACAATCAGGGTGGAAGCACCATTTGGGAAATCAGGTCCTCCAGATATGCACTGAGAAGACAACCCCTTGAATATCAGAAGTTATACCTAGAGAGAGGCATCAGATATGCAGCAAAATCCTAAGCAGAACCTACTGATGGATTTATTTAACAAAGCTGGACCCTACCAGAGCCAGCAATGCTGGCTGGAGCTAGTTCTCAGTCAAGCTGGCTGGAAAGAGGCCTTTTTTGAAAGGATATTGATATAGAAGCAAATAAAAGCAGCAGCAGCTGTTGTCTTTACCTTTCCAACCTTGTAAATAAATAGGAAATATTTTATTTTGCTCTTGGCAGAATATGTAAATGCTTTATTCATTCTTACACCTGCTCTGGCAACAGCCACATCTTCTTCTGGGGAAAAGCAAATCTGTGCAACCTGGGGTGCTTGCAACCAAGGATTTCAGCAAAGGTAGCCCCAGAAGGCATCTTCGGGACTGGGACAACTAGGAAGCAGGCTCGGGCATGGCGGCGCCTAAACCAGCTCAGAGCTGGCTCGACCTTCCCCCCCCCCCCCCCCCCCCCCCCTTGGAAATTCCTACTTTCAGGCCGGCATCGCTGCAGGTGTCGGCTCCCGAGTGAGAAGCCGCCGGCGTGTGCCGGCAGCGCTGCCTGCAACCCTTTTCCCCGCTCCCGGAGCCCGGCGGGCGGAGCCGGCGCCGCGTCCCGCCCGAGCCCAGCCCCGGCCTGCCCCGCCCTCCCGGCGCGCAGGGGCCGCCGCCGCCAAACTTTCGACGGGTCGAGCGGCGCTGCTGCCCCATCCATCGCCCCGGAGGAGAGAGCCGCCCCGGTGAGTGTGCGAGGGGAGGGCGGCGGCGGGACCGTGCCGTGGGAGACGGGAGCAGCCGCCCCCGCTGCGGAGCGAGGGGGCTCCGCTCCGCACCGCGCCCCGCCCTGCCCTGCGAGACCGGCTCCTGTGGCTGCAGCCGGCGGTGGCCGCGCTCGCCTCCCCGGGGCGGGAGGAAGGTGAGAACGGGAATGGGGGGACCGAGGAGCGCGGCCGGCGCGGGGCCTCGGCGGGGTCCCCGCAGCTCCCGGGCGCGGGTGGCTCCCGCCGGGCGCGGGTGTCTGTCCCCGGGGGCGGGAGGGCAGCGGCGCCGCACCCCAGAGGCACGTCTCTTGCCGCCTTCGCCTCCAGCAACCCCGGACCCTTTCCCAGCGCAGGCACTGCGGTCCTGGTGGGAATGCTGCTTGCTAATGTGATCACGTATTCCGCTCTTTCTGCCTACTTGCGCTCAGAACCGATGTAAATCCTCTCTGGGCCTTCCTCTGCCGAAAGTTAGCCGCAATTTGATGCCTGCCCATGAGGATCTGGCTGCTGAGGGGAAAAGAAATTGGAAAAAACCCCTAGTGTGGTGCAGTATGCAAGGTGTGCCAGTAAATGCACACCTAGAGAGTTTATATCAAAAAAAGAACAGAAAGGGTTCTGTCAAACACTGCGTGGTCTCAAATGCCATCTCAGTTTTATCCCCATTCTTTGAAAGAAGCTGATATTTTGCCCACGTAACTGTCCCACTGACAATGTCAAACTTGTCCAATTTATTTCATTGCTTGCTGACATGCCAGCTCATCTCTGCTTGACACCATGGTCGTCCCTTCCCTCTCCCTCAGCTTTGTCTTATTGACAAGACCAAAGTATCTTTCATCAGCCTGAACAGGGCAGTTAAAAAAGTGTCAGAACAAAAGAAGGCTCTGCTCAAAGGAAAGGGTTGGAAGTAGGAATCAACAGAAAGTCAGGCACTAGAGAAATGGGTGAAAATATTTTTGGGAAGAAAGGGATGCTATGTTTTTTGGCTAAGCTACATCCTTCTGACTGGATTTATGGCAAAGAAGGGGAAAAAATGTGAAATTTGCCATCCCTCTCACCCTGCTATTTCTGTGTGTAAATATGACCAGCTCTTATTTTGCATTGAAAAAATTATGAGATTTTAGAGCACCTGACAGTCGTGGGACCTCATCAAATCTCTAATCTAGCAATATATGCAAGCATAATTCCTGGGTGTAGGTACATAGGTTGAAGGAAAATGCTCAGCAGAGTTCTGAACTACTGCATAGCCTTGACTGTGCAAATTGTGGTGGATCTCTTAAATTTTTAACCTGGTGTATTAAAAGTGTATTGATGAGGAATCCCTTCCTGCCACCCATGCTTAGTCTAGTAGATGAAAATTGATTATATTGCTAAAATCAGCAGGGTACACCAGTATGAACAGCTGGCACATCTCAGCTGATGTATCTTGGGGTGTTTTATATCTCAGGCTTACGCTATTAATTGTCAAGTAAATGTAGACTAAACAGTATAGCATAATTTTGACCTGGTTTGTTGGGGGAAAAATACCTTTCAGTTCATGCAGTCGATCTGTTGCTTTTGCAAAAAGACTTTGCACTGAGAAATTCTTTGGGATATTGTGTGAGATGGAAGCAAATACAAAGGGCTCAGCCACCTGCTGGTAGTCAATCCTCCTTTTTCAGTTTGGAAACCACACCAAAGGATGTCACTCATAGATAGTTACTGGGAACAGAGGTAGGGATGAAAACATACCTCGGTTCCTCTGAAACAATCCGCTGAAAATGGAAGGAAGAAAGTTGATCTGATTGAAAAGAAAGGACAAGAATTTTAAAAAAGGCATGTGAATCCAAACACATTAATAGCTAGACTGTTTTTTTAGGCGGACCTGAATTTAAGATGGGTTAAGCTGTGTGCAACACCTGATGGCAAGAAAGTGACGTTTCATCTCTACTCTTGCTTTCCTTAGGGGATGTATGAATGGGAAATAGAGTGAGTAACTCAGGTTTGGCTTTCTCCTCAGTGGTGTTTTCTTGGTGAACCTGCTTGGCCCAGGCAATTTCTTACTGTTTTCCCAGGTCAAGGCAAGGAGTTGCCAGGTGTGTGGTTCTTGCTTAGCATTCCACTGATGCTCTGGGCAGTTTCCAGGGGAACATGCGTGTTCTGCCTAGGACTGAAGTCCAAGTCAGCAATTAATTGTAAACCATCCGTATGTTGTGCCTGCCAAAGTCTTAGGGCAACATAGAATTTGTCTCAGCCTGTGTAAGGAGGGAAACAAAATGAGATTTTGATGCCAATGGTGAAATTCTTACTGACATCAGCAGGGGAATTCTTTGCTCTTCTTTACGACTGCAGTCAGAAATGAATGCCTGATTGGCAGCCTCCAAGGAGCTGTGTTTTCTCAAACATAACACAGAAAGGGAATATTATGTATAACTGTGTTTTAATTGTTTCTGGTGTTGATTTCACTATGAATAAGTTACGCAGTCATTTCAGAGAGATTCTATTATTTCAGTTCTATTACAGTGATATTTTTACTTGCCTTGTGGCACAAACTGTTCTAAAAGAAAGTTTCTTAAAGAAAGATCCCAGTAATTAGTTCACTGCTACTAAGGAGGGGCATAAACCTATAAGTATTTTGTGACTATTTAAAGGAAACACTTTTTGCTAAGGAAAAATTGAAAGATTATTATGCTAATAACAGACTGGATGGTGCTGTTCCATGTAGAATTCCCATAGACATTAATGGAAGTTATGTGCTAAATCAGCAGTAGTTTTAGGTAGTGGATTGTAAAAAAATGATATGCTGCCCAGCAGGATCTTAATACTTCTGCATTTACTTAGGCAAACTTTGTCTTTAAAATGCTTTTGAAATCTGTCCCAATTTTCAGCAGGAGTCATGCCTGAATAATATTCTGGGATTGGCCTTCAAATGTAAGGGCAACAGAATTTAAATATATTAAGACAGATCTTCTCTTAATCCTGTGATGTAGCATGTGGGTCAGGAAAGAGCTGTACTTTAGCTCATTGCTTTTTGCCTTAGCCAAAGTGGACTAATCTTTCCGCTTGTTCTTGTACTGTTTTGTTTTCAGGGGCAACTCTGTGGCTCAGACCAGGCTGCTGTAAGGATGGGTCCCCTGGAAGCAGTAGGTGAAGAAAACCAGACAGATGAAATGAAGATGGAGCTGTTCACCAAGCTGTACTTGCCAAGATACACCACACCGCTCAATGAATTGGCTCTGGACCCTAAACCAGAACTGAAGGACAGCACAACACTAGTTGAAGTGCAGATAATTCTCATCTTTGCTTACTGCTCCATCATCCTGTTGGGGGTGATTGGAAACTCCCTCGTGATCCACGTGATCATCAAGTTCAAAAGCATGCGCACAGTGACTAACTTCTTCATTGCCAATCTGGCCGTGGCCGACCTGCTGGTGAATACGCTGTGCCTGCCCTTCACTTTGGTTTATACGCTCTTGGGCGAATGGAAACTGGGCCCAGTGTTGTGTCACCTGGTGCCTTACGCCCAGGCGCTTGCTGTTCATGTGTCCACTGTTACTTTGACTGTGATTGCTCTGGATCGTCACCGCTGCATCGTCTACCACTTGGAAAGCAAAATCTCTAAGCGAATCAGCTTCCTGATTATAGGAATTGCCTGGGCAGTCAGTGCCCTGTTGGCAAGTCCTCTGGCCATCTTCCGCGAGTACTCGTTGATTGAGATCATTCCTGACTTCAAGATTGTGGTTTGCTCTGAGAAGTGGCCAGGAGAGGGGCAGCTCAACTATGGCACCATATACAGCATCTCTATGCTCCTGATCCAGTATGTGCTGCCTCTGGCAGTCATCTCCTATGCCTACACTCGTATTTGGACCAAGCTCAAGAACCATGTTAGTCCTGGGGCAGGGAGTGACCACTACCACCACCGGCGTCGGAAAACCACCAAGATGCTGGTGTGTGTGGTTGTGGTGTTTGCTGTCAGCTGGCTGCCGTTTCATACCTTCCAGTTAGTCAGTGACATTGACAGTCAGGTGTTAGACCTGAAAGAGTACAAACTGATCTACACAGTGTTTCATGTCATTGCCATGTGCTCAACGTTTGCTAACCCCCTTCTCTATGGCTGGATGAATAACAACTACAGGATGGCCTTCCTCACAGCCTTCCAGTGTGAACAGCGGCTGGACTCCATCCACCCTGAAGTATCAGCAGCTTTCAAAGCCAGGAAAAAACTGGAAGCAAAGAGGATTCAATTCCCTGGGGACTCTTTCACACAACCTACCAATGTCTAAGATGTCTGACTTTAAAGAAGAAATCAATATGTGGTGGACAAAGGGATAAATCCATTTTGATACATGCATTTTTAATGCATAGTTTTATTCATAAAGGGTGAAAGAAAAGTAGCAGGAAATCAAGGCAGGTGCTATGATCTGGGGGTGTTGATTGATATCACGACTATGTAACTATATGACTACAAGGAAATAAAAGGGATAGGCTTTGTTTATGGCTGTCTCTAACAGAGTAAGAGACCCTTTTATCCCTCCCATATCTTTTTGACAAGTCTAAATGACAAGGGCAGAGTGTGCTGGTTTTGCTAGAGGAAGGCAATTTGTAGCGCAGGAATACTGATGATGGGAGCAGGTAGTTTTTA